TAGCATGAACTCATTGTTGCAGCACCTCGCTCAGACTGTCTCTGACTCACCCAATGCAGCAGAGGCACCTGAGGGGCCACCACCATACCAAGGGTCACCACAAAGCTCGKGTGATCCAAGGAGGGTGGCAGTGGCCCAAGGGGAATTGGAGCCTGCAGAGCTCCGTACAAGCTGCTGGTGGTGCCAAGCAATTCCRTACTCCAGTGTAATGCCCTTCTGGGTTGCAGCAGCAGCCTGTGCCCTCGCTGCTGTCMCTGCCTGATGTGCTTCTCATGCCCACTGTGTGCCCTGGTAACCGTGTGCTCCCTGTGCAGGTGCGGATCGAGGACGATATCGCGGTGACAGCCACTGGAATGGAGCTGCTCACRTGCGTCCCACGGACCGTGGAAGAAATTGAGGCTTTCATGGCAGAAGGCCAGAGTGGTGCCAAATCATTTGATTGCCTCTCCAGCCAAAAGCAGTAACCTCAGGATGATACTTTCTACCTCAAGTGATCATTGTGATTTAATGCTGCAGCATAAAAAATAAAATGCATCCAATTCCTAGTAGCAAGAGAGGCAGGCAGGCTGGAAAAAATTAATGCATTAAAAATGAAGGCAGAAAGCTTCAGTACTTGATACCCAGGTAACCCAACTGCTACTTGCAATCAGCAGTTCACATGACCAAGTGGCAGCTAAAAAGCCCTGCTGCCTGATCTGTCATTTTCTGACAGATCTCAGCTTAGACTATCTTGCAATTAAATCTGAATTTTGATGATTTGGCCTCTAAAATACCAGATGGATTTTCTGAAAGCTATGAGCAATTGTAACATGCTTAAGTGCTTTTTTAAACTTCATCACAAATACTGTGAAAAACAGAAATAAAAATCAGTTGTTCTCAGTGGACATAACAACACATTTTTCTTATGGATCTGTATCCATGGAGTAAGCAGAATCAAATTTTTATTAAAATTCACCTTGGCATCATTTATGTTCACAACTTTGTGGTTATTACGCTTTTCTGCTCCAGTTCCTGCTTCATTGTTTGACCCTACTACCAATTTGTGCTCTGCAAACTGACCCTTCACTRGCCAGAGTTTTCAGCTCTGGATAATGACTGTACTGATCCTTCACACACAGCYCCATGCTCATTAGATTTGTTCATCTGCTTGTTCCTTAAAAGCATAGATTGTGATGGTCTTTGTGACCCTTRGAAGTTGCAAGAAGGGATTATCTTTGCTGCAGGGCTGATGGTCATTCAGCAACATGTGCTGTGCAGCATGGTAGTTATTTTTAACTGTTCAGTGCTAGTTCAGAAGGAAGTAATGTAAATTTTATTTGCATGCATAACAAACATGCTAGTATTGCTCACAAAATTATTTTCCACTGATGCAAGATTTAATTTACCAAGAGAAGCTTTTCTTTACTGTAGATGTTCATTAGCCTGCGGGGAAGAAATACACTTCTTGCATCACAGAATAGCACTAGGTGCTGGTAACTACATAAAAATAATCTTTCTCACTTTACATGTACAATCAGAACTCCTTCTCAATATTCAGCCTCTGTTGCAGTTCGACAGCAAAGCCARTTCAGATCATGTCTCTGCTGTGTCGGGGGAGCTGAAGCCACAGCAGAGTATCAGGGCCTTTCTGGGTCTCACTGCCTGCCGATGATGACAGTTTTCCCACTGAAGGGATCAGATGAATTGATATCTCAGTACCTTGGTGTGAGCATCTCAGKTCTGTTGCTCACACGAGGCCACTGACACATGGACGATGGGATTGACTGTGAGCTTYTGCAAGTGCATGTCTCACATGGGGGTCACAGCACACCGTGAGTTTGGATGGAGTCAAAACACCGCTGTGCGGATGCCTTTGTGCCCTTCCCGGGACTGGATTTAGGCCTGAAAAAATTTCCTTTAAATCTGTCAAATATGTTGCTCTAGGAGAGCTCTTTTTGCTAAGAGGATTGGTCTGTGTGACAAGAACCTGCTCTTTTTTCTCAACAGCTGTGTGCTCCATTGCCAAGGAGAAAACTCTGTGGGAGCCCAAAGAAACCTTGCAAAATAATCGAGGGGCTTCATTAATGTCMTTTAATTAACAAAGAAGCCTATTTGCATTTTTTTAGAGGTTTGGTGACACTGGTTTGTAAGAGGTAAGTGCAGGAATTCTTGACTGTGAAGGGGAGCAGTTTTTTGAGGAAGGGAGGGTGTGAGATCAGAGGCTTGTGTGTGCTGCTGTGTTGATGTTCCTGCTGTGGTGACTGATATCTTCCACCTCTGAAAGGTAGGACAGCAGGTTTTGCTTTAGTAGCCTTGCAGATATGAGAACATAGAGACTATACTGGCATTGCTCTGAACTCATCTGCCCCTAAAACACGGGTTTTTCAGTGCAAGACAGCGCTCCCAGCTCAGGCTCATTCTCTCCACAGCCATGTGTTTCCCTGTGGCARGCTCTGAACACACCCAGGGGATGGCTCACTGCTGCAGGCACTCTGAAACCTGTTGCTGCTCAGGTTCAGCAGTGGTTGCTATTTTATAGTAAAACTTCACAGATTTTGGAAGGAGGAGAACTTTGGAYGTGTTTCAAACGAAGCCATGAGCCYGGTGTAGTTAATTGGCCGCTCCCGCGTGTGATGAATGTTGGCACAAGCTGGGCTCTGCTGCTGCAGAACAGGTTGAGCAGTGCAGGGCTCTTCAGGAGACAGAACTGGTTCTGTTTTGGGCTGTGCCAGCCGCGGGCCGGGGGAGTGMCTGCTCCCCTGCCCAGCTCCCTGCTCCGCCTGCCCGGCACGGGGATGTGTTGTGGGCTGGGATGGGGCACCCTCTCTCATTTTCCTTCATCATCAGGCCCACTAACTTGGTGAATATAAATGTTATACTTCATTCCATAAGTCTGTTCTTTAATTATGATAATTTTTATCCACTTAAGCAAAAAGTGAATTAGACCTTTTTGCCCAACTTGGGGAGGGGAGGGGGAAGAAACCATTTTTAAAAAGGTAAAGTGATATTTAATAATTTAAAGTGTATTAAGGGGGTRAAAATACAGATTATAGCAAATTTAGACTACATTAAGATATTTTACACTCTTACTATCATGTTTTCCCAAATGCTTTTGGCACAAACAGACTTGAATAGAGTGGCACAGAAGGAGCGCGTGTTATGCTGAGCAAGTTTCTCTGTTTAGAAACGTCTGAGCACTTCTGAAATGATRCATGTAAATTGCTTCAGCAAATTGTTTCAGCTGCATGGGGTTAGCTGCACTCAGAATTTACCTGCCAATTACCCCGCTTAGCTACAGGAGTTACAGGGGTACAGCCTCCCAGTGCTCACGGGGGCAAGAGCAGACCCCTTCCCTTAGTGGTACAGTGAGAAAATGGGAATCAGGTTTCCTGGTGAAATGTGCAGTGCTGAAACTCTTTGTGTGCCGACAGGCACGGGATTCTGCCACAGACTGGAGTTAAGAATAGTGTGGTAAAAGGAAGACCTTAACTTTTATAGGTCTACCTGAAATTTTCTGTGCCTTGCAGCAGAGGGGTGAGATGGAAGCACTTTGCTGTCGCCCAGCCTGGGCTGCTTCACCCTGGGTGAAAGGGCCTTTGCTCCTCGGAGCTCCTCTGGCAGGCAGGGTCTCAGAATAACCGTGACCTGATCCCTTTCTGCCACCAGCCTCTTCCTGAGGGTACAGTTAACACAAAGATTCATTACAGTCAYGGCAGTGAGAGACTGCACAGAGCCCAGTGCCCCTTCTGGGCCTTGTCCTGGTGCCAGCCAAAGGACAAAGGATCATTGTCCTGGTGCCAGCCAAGGCTAGGGATCCCTGTCCCAATGTCACCAAGGCCAGGGATCCTTGTCCCAGTGCCAGCCAAGGCCAGGGATGGCTGTCCTTGTGCCATCCAAGGGCAGGGATCACTGTCCCGGTGTCACCAAGGCAATCAGGGACCCTTGTCCCGGTGCCAGCCAAGGCCAGGGATCCTTGTCTCAGTGCCGGGAGGGCGCAGGCCTGGAGCTGTGTGGGCACGGCTGTGGGTACAAAGACAAAGGTGCTGTGCGGAGGTTRCGCCRCCATTTCTGTCATTTCTGTGCCTGTCCTGGGGCAGGAGCAGTGAACGGAACAAGGGCTGTGGCATGTTGGGCTCTGAGCACTTTGCACAGCATCACCCTCAGTTACACACTTGTCATTAGTGTTGTTACTGTCGTTGTTTGTTTTCTTATCTGGTTGCTTTTTCCAGTAAATTGTTATCTCAGCCCATAATCTGCATTTTGTCTCTCTCACCTGAGGGGGTGGGGAGAGGGGAGTGGTTTTGTCGGGCTTATTTTCTAGTTGGACTTAAAGCACAACATCAGTAAAAAAAAACCATAGCTAAGGCTGATAAAACAGAAATTTTATTTTCCAAACAAATGACTTCTCATAACTCAGTGATTTGGCTGTAAACAAGAAGGAAGTGGAATCAGAGCCATCAGGTGCAACAGGTGGCAAAATCACTCTTCAGAACTGCAGAAAGGGGATCACTCCCACTGAAGAGAGATCTAAGGAATCATTCACCAAAATCAGAAATAGCCAAGATTTGCAGTCCCTGTTCTGACTGGTAGGGGAGGGCCCCACACCAGCCTGCCAAAGCAGCTTCGTGACAACAGGGCCACACAGTCCCAGCTCACAGGCCAGACAAGGCGGGAAGAGATTAGTGTTGGCCTTGTCACCAGAGGAGGTGCACAGTCTACAAATGCGATGCCTCCAGGTCATCTTTTTCCCTTGTAATTTTTGGTGTTCTGTTCCTCTCCCCTCCCATCTAATTGTAGTATATTTTCAGTTTTAAATTCCCTTTTTTTTTCTTTTTTGTTAAATCAGACATTTAGACAAAACTGTAATAATTGCTGAGTTTTTCTAATTGCTTCCATGGAGCAAAAATCTCAGTGGAAGAGGGGAACGGAGACTGTTGTGCTGATTTCTCCAAGATAGCTGTGTGAATTGGGCAACTTGGCACTTGAGGGAAATAGAAAAAGGACAGGAAGAATGAACCCACTAGAAGCAAAACGTTTTTATTAGCTTCTGGTATTTCAACCCTACCAACTTAAGCCACAGTTAGAATGAAAAAACGTATCCGTAAAAGTCTACAATAATCCAAAACAATTAATTAAAGTTTTCCACATGTATTGAAAGTTTAAATTCAAAAAAGAACTTTTCAAGATTTAATTCTCTAACAGTATCTTCATAAAGAAAACATCCAAGTTTTTTCCTAAGTACAGATACAAAGCAAACAAGCATACTCCAAAATAATCTATGGAGAAAAAGTGGTGTAAGAGGGAAATTAAGACAGTGTAGTAATCTGCAAGCCAGACACACAGGTTAAATGCAAAATAACCATACTATCAAGGAAATATTTAAAAATGAAAATAAATTAAAGTTATATCGAATTTCTGGCTTTACTTTTTCTAAATCCTCAATATAGCACATAGCACTGCATTATGGATCATGGCAAAGACTTAGCAGTAGCAATAAAGTTACTACAGAAAAATCTTCTATGAAAATAAGACTAAAGMTACTCCTTCACACAGCTGTATGATGGCTGTAGAAATTTCACTGAATCAGTCATTCATACTAGGGCCATTTCTTTTAAAATCAATGTGAATTTCTGTAAGATGAATGTCAGCCAGCGGTGATCCAAATGTCCCAGCTGAACATGTGCTGTTCTGCTCCTTTCACTGTTTAGCCAAGCTGCACCTTTTATTCTCCCCAATACCCCCTACCTACAAAGAATGCAGTTTAGCAGGGCAGCTTTTTGGTAGCATTTTGACATTTTCTGAAAACAAACTCTTGTCCTCCCAAGGCCCCAGTCACTACAGGAGCAATACGAACACAAGCTTGAATAAAAGGTTTTGCCACTGTGCTGCTTTGCCTCTTTCATGTGCCATTTGGAGACCAACTGCCTGTACATATCATTGTAGCATATTATTTTCTGAAGAACACTGGTAAGCACCCCAGCTCACTATTACTACAACCTCCGCATTAACTATAACTGGCAGGAGGGACCTACATGGTGCTTTATAGAACTTGCTCTACAGATTTAAAGTAAAAAGCAAACATTCTCCACAGCTTTTGCATTTTGTAATATGTAATGGAGAAAACAAAGGGTTTAAATACACTAACAGGCATTTAAAAAACATTCTATCAAAGTCTGATACTATAGTGAGTCACCCTGCTGGATACCTCCCATTATGCGAAGTCTAAAATGGTATATGAACATTCCTGTGAAAATGTTATCTCCTAAATAGCACATTTTTTGTTGGCTAGGAGTTCAGATCTGCATAAATCTTTGAGGAGAAAAATATTAAAAACAAATGCCCTAACCAGTTTCTGGTTTAATTGTTACAGATCTTCAGTGTCAACTGTCAAAGAAAAAATCTCCACAAAACAATGACTAAAGGTACAGTTTTTGCTTGGTTAATGCATGGGCACTGCAGACAAGCTGCACCATAAGAGTTCGTTTCATAAGGTTGCAGGTGTCTACTGTCCACTGTTTTCTGGATTTGTTGTGGTTTCAGTGCCAACAGGTTGCACATTGTCTGCAAAATTGTGGGCATGCTCAAGAAACAAGTCTTTCAGTACACTCAGCTCCTTGGTCAGGAGCTTAATTTTTGCCTCTAAACGTTCATTTTCTTCTTTAAGCTGGTTGACCCTTTGCAGCGTGTCTTGTGCTTTCTGCTTGCTTTTTAACCGGCTCTTTTTTACTGCCATGTTGTTTCGCTCTCGGCGCTGACGATACTCATCACTGTTTCTATCCACAAAGGAATTTTTCTTTCCCTGTTTGCTTGGAGGCACAGCTTTGCCTCCACCACCAGGACTAACCGGCACCAGCTGGGGAACCTGCTGCAAACCACTGGAGTGTGCTTGGGTGTGAATCACACTTACTCCGCTCACATCTGTAGTGGTATTCTGTTGGGATGTCTTGCTCATTTGGACAGGCTGTTCTTTGACACAAAAGAATTTATTAGGAGACTGAAAACTCTTGTGTTTCTTCACTCCTGTGAAGGTGTTTCCAACAGATCTTCACATGGATTAAGGGCAAGGTGAACCTAGAAGTGAAAAAAAAAAGAGCTATCAAAGATGCTGGCTTCAGCTACAATCTTATACATCACAGCTTTAGCATAAAGTACTGATGGTACATCTGGCAGGAACACATCATAACTGTGCTGGAAGTGGACAAGCTGCCAACCACATTTCTGAAGSCTCGAATGTATTTGAATTGGATAGGACCATTACTGGGCCATCTAGTCAAGCTGTGTGAGTTGTTCACTGGCGTCACTCAGTTATTCCAAAGCCATCCCTGATGGAGGGGTGTCTAGCCTAGCCTCAAATATCTCCAGTTTCACAACCTCTGTCTTGGCAACATGTTCCACTGTCTAACTTTTCCTCCAGTTATACAATTTTCTTAGCTTTCAGACTGGAGTTTTCCTTCTGTGGCTTAAACCTATTAACAGCCTGACTCTTGACCAACAGAGGTACTTGATCCTTGTCCTCCTCGGATCATCCCTCTGGGTATATCTGCAGACAAATTCCTCCCTGATCTCTTTTCTCTGGAGCAAGGGTGCTCAGCCTGTCCATCTTTCCTCAACCATCTTACAGCTCCTGTTTTAAAGATGATGTTCAAATTGATTACTGTTGTAAGGTCTAGTACTGAGTGGAAAACTAAATCTATGAAAAAAGGTAGCCTGTTGCAAAGGCTGTATCTGGGTGACCTTCAAACACAAGCAATGTGCTGAGCCTGTAACAGTATGTGTATCGAACAGGTGGGACAGGAACACAGGGTGATGGCAGTGTAGATTACTACAGAAAGACAGGGGACTGTCACCCAGCAAAAGACAGCAACCACAGCTGACTCATCTAATAAATATGGCCYTCTGCTGTAGTTCATGCACTGGTCATTGTCCACTCTCCTTTCCAGCAGACATACTGGCCTGATGAGCAAGACATCCTCTCACCTGACTCATGTTCTCTTGCTGCTGAGGTCAGCCTGCTCCTGGCCCTACTGGTGGCRCAAGGAGGATTCCACCACAGCTGCTGCAGGGACATGACCCTGGCAAGGCTAACTTGTGATGACTTCCTAAATGGCTGGGAGAGAACAGGGGAAGGGCAACAGGATGGTCCCAAAGCTCCTGAAACACCTACCTATGGCTCTAATGAAAAGTACTCAGTGATCAGTTAAACGAGTGTGGATTTGTCATGCTGAAGAAAAGCATTTAACTGGCACTGAACAATCCTACTCTGAGGTCAGACTGTGTGGCAGCGGTGCAGCCCAGCACTCTGTCACACACAGACATGCAGTATCACACCACCAGTGTGACACATCCTCCCTGCCCATCCTCCACAGGTCTGGGGGAAATGCAAGCACCTGCTGCAGCAGTGGGCAGCACTGACCACCCAGTGTAGGCAGTGTCCAGCCCAGGAACACATCTCACATCTGACCACCCAGTGTAGGCAGTGTCCAGCCCAGGAACACATCTCACATCTGACCACCCAGTGTAGGCAGTGTCCAGCCCAGGAACACATCTCACATCTGACCACCCAGTGTAGGCAGTGTCCAGCCCAGGAACACATCTCACATCTGTAAGAGCACAGTGATGGATGGCTGCACTGTCTGCYTGAGGAGTGGAGGGATGTGTGAGAGGTTTGAAACCAAGCTCCTGTGTATCACTGGTCATTCTAAACTCACAGGTTCATCAGCTGTGTACTGTTCCTGTTTATTTTTCTCAGCAATCTGAGTTGTTGTTTTACTTTTGGATGGGATAGCATTCAAATGTTAAAATTCCACTGTGTAGACCAACTGCACATTTTCTTCCACTGAAAAGGCCAGATTGAGATGCTGTTGGAGAGTGTAGTTCAGTAACATTTATGGAAAAGTCCACTAAGTTTGGCTTGACTGTTACTTAAAATTAACATTCTGTCACTGAGAAGTTTTCCAGTTGTAAAGATGTATGAGTCTATCAAGAAATATTTACATTTTCCTATTTCAGGGCAAAGGAGATCATCAGCTCTTTTTGACACCTGTGGAGCTGAATCTAGATAGTGACAAACACCTTTGTATTTAGTATTTTCCTGATTTCAACTTTCAAAGACACTTTTGCAAACCACATTCGAGTCTCAGATTCTGACCAAATAAGCAGTTTGGTTGGGCACTTAAACTGAATACCCAGCTGCCAAGGTTTTCCTGCGCACCAACACCAGACTGACAGGGCCAGTTGTAGTAGCTGTGTAACTGCACAGACATTTTTAGTTAAGGTGTAAGTGTATGCTCCTCTTAGAGCATACACAGTTCTTGTCTGCACTTTGAGGGCTACAGAAATCCTGTATTTTAAAATAAAGTATGTATAGTTCTGTTAGATTGTCTCTGACAAGTAGATTTTTGACACATTTTCTAAATCAGACAATGTTCTGCTATCCCCTCTGCTTCAACACATTTTAGTGCTTGCCAAGTTCACCTGACAGGCCAGTTATGTAACCCACACCATTTTTACAATCCGATTGTTGTGCTCCATGAGCTATTACTACAGAGAAAGGGATGGTTACTGCCCCCAAAGGAACCCCACCTGACATGTAACACATTCCTTCACATCACCAGGTTTCCATGTGCCATCTCTATATGCTGTCAAAACTATTTAATACTGCCTTAACATTCCTTACCTATCTCTATCAGATTTCCCCATGATTAAAAAAAATTATTGTTCCATTAAACTTAATATTAATGAAGTACTTTAGCTGGGCACTACATGGATATAATCAGAGAAGATAAACCGTGTCCACCTCTCCAGCAAAAATTCTAGTCCTGCTGGAACAGACCTCCCKCAGTTCCCACTGGAACTGATCTGTTTTTCATTAAATAACTATTTCTTGAGTGAGAYATGCTCTTGCGTGGCCTGATGATCAGGACCCTTAACTGCAAGAGGTGACACCTGGATTCCCATCCTGCTCCACAGAATATGCAGTGCAAGTAGAACTSACTGTACTGCATCACAGAGTTACAGGAGTGCTAAGAGTTGAGGCTTGAAATTAGTTTTTCCCCCTGGTGATTTGGAGGCTGGATGCCTATTACCAGTTGTCAGAAAGCTATCCCAGACAGCAACAGGTGCTATGGGGCATCCTTCAGCAGACACTGCAAGGAGATTTGAAGGCAGCAGGTACAACACATGCAAAGGGGACTCTCAAGAAGGGTGAGGTAAAGGACAAGATAATTGGGAGAAGCCATGAAGGTGGGGAGGCAGACAAGGTCTCAAATTTCTCAGAGTCCCTGCAATACAAACACAGCTCCTCCACCCCTCTCCACACAGGTTGGTTTCCTGAGTGGGTGACAGCTCCAGCACAGCAGGAGACAACTCCTCAGAGAGCCAGCCCAGTTTCCTAGCATCATGTTCCCACAAAGCTGCTCATTAGCTTCAGCTCAGCAACAGCCCTAGGCTGGTTCCACCCAACACATGGTAGTGTTTGCAGTGGCCAGTTAGAACTGCCTAATTCTCTCCTTGGGCCACCAACTGGCCACCCATGAAACCAGCTGGCCACCCACTACAGCATAATAGCTGGTAACTTAAGAGGTGTCTTCTCAGGCAGAGAGATGTTTCCTACTGTCTCACAGTGCTCCTCGGGCATCAATGAAGCAATGAAGCTTTCACACACACRAAAAATAAAAGCCAAGTTATAAAACGTCTATATGTTTGCTTTGGCAATAAAAACATGTTTTGTTAATTAAATCAGTATTTTAACTTGGTAGCAAAAAAATATACAGTGCTTCTCTCTGCTCCTTTCCTGAGATGTGACTGTGCTGATTCTGTGCAATAAAGTCATCCTGACTAATGATCAAATTCAGTCAGCTGTCTTGTCAAATGCAAAATCAGTCCAAATCTAAACACGATAGGTGGCCTCTCTTCTCTTGGACTCTACTCCAATAGGATGCAGTTCTAGATTCCAATGACCCTGTACTAAGGACAGTGACACAGAATCCAGGCACACATTTACTGAACAGTGGGAGGGCTAACTCCTGCAAGGATCACGCTCACAGGTTTGAAGGAGTTGATGCTAACTCTCCCGTACTGAAGGCTGAGCAACAACTCTTTTGAGACTGGGTAGTTCAAACCCATCATCTCTTGTCACAGCTRACAACATCGCTTTTCCGCTTTTATTTCAGAATCTCCCTTTTCAATATACATCTTGCAAGAAACATGCACTCTAACATCCTTAACAGACTGTATCGGAACACCTAAAACACGAATTTTAACATGGCATAATCCCACACACCAGGAGGCAAGGAGGTATCAAATGACTGTCTTTCGAATTAAAACAACATCTACGATTTCTAACGATGAATCAGTTCCTTAAATCCGAAAATTTTGCAAATTATAAATGCTTATACTTTCCGAAGAAACTCTGCATGGCACTGTTACGGAGCTGCGACTGTTCTTCCCTACCAGATATCAGCGCTAAGGCCGACGCCGAGTTCCCTGCCTGACAAAGCTCAGGTTTGAAACTTGCGACTGGAGCTACGGAAATTCCCGGGGAACCTGACACATCTGTCGAGACGCACCCTAGGGAGCGCCCGGGGACCGGGCGGCAGTGCAGGCGCTCTGGGGCGGCTCGGGCGCTCCCGGTGTCCCCGGGCTGCGCTCCCCGGCTGCGCCTCGGCCAGGCGCACTCCCGCCGCGCAGCGAGCGCCCGACCGGCCCCGCCGCCGAACGCCCCCGGAGCGGCCCCGGCGCGGCCTCACTACCCCTTGCCACCGGGCCGGGACCCACCGCGGGGACCAACCCGGCCCGGCCCTCCCCGGCGGGCCCACGGCGCCGCCACCGCCCTCTCCGGGCCACCCGCCCGCCGAGGCCGCACTGCTCCTCCCCCGTCCAAGCGGGACGCGGGGGTGCCCGGCGCTGCCAAGCCGTGACTTCACCGGGGGAGGGGAGGGAGCCGGGGCCGCCCGCCGATTGCATCACGCGCTGCCGCACGGGCCCGGGAGCGGCCGCGACCCCGCGCTCCCCCGGCCCCGGCGCGCGCCCCCCGCGCTTACCTGAGCGGCGCGGGCGGCGGGAGGGGCCGGGCGGGCCGCGCTCGGGACCGTGCGCGTGCGGCGAGCGCCGATTGCGACACCGCGCGGGGCTGCCCCGCCCGCCCGGGTGATGCAACCGCCCGGTGATTGACAGCGGGCGCGGCCAATCAGCGCCCGGCGGGGGCGGGGCCGTGGTCTGAGGTGTTTGCGTGTGAGGCCCGCGCGCGACTGAGGGGCTCGGCTTCAGTCCCGTCACGACCTCAGCGTGTCAAGGGCTGGGTTTGGCCGCGGCCGAGGCTCTGCTATGGCCGAGGCTCTGCTATGGCCGAGGCTCTGCTATGGCCGCTGGGTTTGTGTCTCTGCGCTCTGCAGCCGCGCTGGAGGAAAATACGCTCGGGGCACGGGTGTCGCTGAGCCGGCTGCGCCCAGCCCGTGGGAGCCGTCTTCCCCTCTCCGTCGGGGGTGGGGTGGAGAGGCCGCCCTGCCCCGCCAGAGGGTTGCGGGGAGCGAGGCGGCAGCGCCCCCGCGCCGGTGGGAACCAGGGGCCCGTCCGTACCTCCAGGAGGCCCCGGCGCCTTGCGCACCCGAGGGCGAGAAGCCGAAGCTGCATTTCCCGGATGAATCCCAGCGCGGGGAGCTCGTCTTGGGCCCCGCGGGAGGGACACCGCAGCCTCGGTGTGCCCGGACCGAGCGGTTTCCTGGGGGTGCCTGGCACAATTGGTCGCAGCGTGGTGATTATAACGCCAAGGCTGTGGGTTCCATCCTCGTATGGCCACTCGTTTAGGGGCTGGACTCCATGATCCCTGTGGGTCTCTTCCAGTTCAGCATGGCCTGTAATTCTGGTGACGTTGGCTAGTGCCCAGCGCACAATCGAAGTAGATGGTGGCATATTTCTCTACTGATTGGCATCTCGTAATTATAAAGGAGAGTTATTAATTAACACCTGTCTGTGTATTCCCATCTTGATCCTAGCTGCCATGTGGTTTGCCTCCATAAGATGTGAGATAACGGGGAAGGAATACCAAAGACATCGAGTATCATCAGGTCTCCTGACAACATAAATTATGACGAATTTCTAAATTTCGTGGATTCTTGGTTGATTTTTCTTTTCAAACTTGCTGTTAGAAAGGAAGCCCTAAATGCTGGAAGACTAGGAAGCATCTGGGTCAAAGAGTTAAATGTCATGGGAAGATTATGCACCATTTTACTGGTACGTTTATTGTTACAAAATATATCACTTTTTGTAGAGACATTATCTTTTTGCCCTTAATATTTTCCAGACACTTTGGTTTATATCACTTTAGTTCTGTCCAAACAAGCATATACAATATTATTTTAGATAGATAGATAGATACACACACACATAGATCTCAAGCTGTGTGTGAGCAGAGTGTTTGCAGCTCCCTGAAGGGGAAATATACACTTCAATACAAAGGTGTGTGTATTTGTAGCGAGCAGGTCTGAAAACCATGTTTTTAAGGTAGGCAAGTTTGGAACAAGTTCAAGCGTGCAGACCAGTGGAAACAACAGTGTTGGAACAGTGTATGCAGAGAGAAAAAGTAAAGATTTGTGCTAATCTGTTTTACCACATAAACCTGCTTGAAAATGTTTTATGTCTGCAAAAGACCTGAGAAGAATTAGATTTGTAAATAGTTGCAGAGCTCAGTAATATAGATACAAAATTATTTGTATTTATCATTTTCATGGCTGTCTGATGTTGTGGAGGGTTTTTTTTTTCTTGTTTTTGGAAAGCCCTGTGGAAAATAAACCATATTTGCAGAAAAATTCTGAGGGTTAGTCTGGGTGAACCATTTTACTCAGCTTATTTACCACAAAGATACTTTTCCTTGTCAGTCATCAAGTATTTGCTTTAACTTCTCTAATGTTGTTGTGTCTCTTAATTGAAACAGTTATATTTTCTGTGACAATGACTCATCCATCTATAACTAGAGCAAATTCCAGGTAAGCATTAAACATTATCCTTTGCTCACAATAGTTAAGTAAATGTGTGCTCTTAGTATTCTTTCCTGGGATTTTAGAGCACTTTATGATCATTAATTCATTAATCCTCATCAAAGATAGCTGAAGAAAATAAAATGTAGATGAACTTATTCTCACAGTCTGATTATTTTAAACACTAAAGCTCACACATAATTCCCTGCATGTAGGACACTCCAGTGCTTAGTTGGCATTGTATCCTGTTAGAGGAAACCATCACAGAGTGTACTTCAATGTTTGCAGGATATTTTYCCCCCAATGTTACAGTAAAAATAGAATATGATGGAAGCAATCTAAAACSCAAGCATGGAAATATATGGGTAACTGTGATGTGACATTGAAATACACACTTTGCCTGTTTGTGTACAAGTTGGGCCAGAGGAGCAGTAGCTCTGGAGTCAGGTGTCACAAGCAAGTTGGTCCCTGCTGGGATGGAGCCCTTCTCACTCTGATTCTAGATGTGTTCATATAGCAACAGATTACCCATATGACTAAAGATAGTACTGGAACCGTATCTTATTTTCACATGTATTATCCAGTCTCATGATTGTTTAAAGACTTTAGTCACACTGGTATCACACTGGTAATCAGTGTCTTCAAGTAATCTACAGCAATTCACAGTTAGAGGCAGAAAGGCCATTGTGGGAATAGAAACTGTGGGAATTGGACTCAGAAGATACAAAGGGGAGGGCAGCCTGTTGGGACAAATGTCCCTGTTTATTGCCCGCTCAGTATGTTCCCTTAACACAAAAACATTWAGAAGTTCCCTGGAGCCTTTCACTTAGAGTGAAAACTACTTTGTTGCACTTGGAATAGTTACTCTTGTGTCTGATTTCATGCTCAAGTGTCTTACCTCTGTCTTCATGGGCAATTATTTCTTTGTCTTAAAAAACAAAAAAAAAAAAATCCAATAAACTCCTGGACTACAACCTGCAAGTTTTTTGGTTTTTTTTTCTGTAAGCATTTGCCTCTGTTTCCTTCATGGATAAGACTTCACCAGGTTTTTTTTTTTACTTCAGACTTCCACATTTCAGTTAAAAGTTTACTTTTCACACATGATGCTGCTGAATCAGCAGCATGCCTTCGAATCCTAGAGAAGAAATCAGTAATTTCCAGTGATTTAGAAGAGAAAAAAATAAATGTRTATGTAGTTTACATGTGGAAATAAATAGGCCCTTTCAGGTAAAAACACGTAATTCCAGGCTGTGATGAATACACTCAAATGTATTTAAGGGCAAATGCACTGAATTATACCAAAATATAACCTTTTCTTGGTAACTGCTATCCCTTTTCTTGATAATCTCAACCTAGACTTATTCAAGATTGGAAAGATTCACTCAATATGATTACATTCCTTATGATCACCAAGCAGATGGCATTCATTCAGAAATATCCCAGAAATACAAAGTCTGTAATAGAGGTTTTCCATAATCTTATTATTGCAAATCTCCCTTCTCTTAACAGCCCTGTATTTTGGTATTACAATAATTACATTTTGTGTTCAGGACTGACCTGCACCAAGAYCAAAATCCTATTGTTAGAAATCAGAATTTTGCAGAGCTGGGGCTATTAAAGCTTCAAAAGCAGAAGGATCACTGAGTTTCTTTTCTCAGGAATCTGGCTATATTTTAAAAAATAGAGTGCAGAGAGAAAAAGCAATATGAATAGCTCTGCCTATTTGTTTGAAAAAGCTTATACTTCCTAAGCACAGAGCTCAGTGTTTTTATGATCTGATAACTTAAATGACAGAAATTCATGTATTAATAGCTGATTTGTCAGAGGTAGCCTTTTTGACTAGGTGAGGAGAAAGGAGASAAAAGATTGCTTAATCATGATTGCTATTACAGTATCATACTGCTAATTCTATCACTGACTCGCTACAGCCTTGGAAAGTTACAGTGCTTTTGTTCTATCAAATACTAAATAAAGGAAMCAATCTGTTCTAATAGCAAACATCTATTTTATTGTCACATTGCCTGGAGTTCTTTTGCAGGAAAAATCGAGTGCTTTTGTTCTTTTTCTCTATGCAACTAATAAGTCTTGTAACTAAGTATTTCCAGTTTCTAGTTCTGCATCTTCCAGTACTACTACGCTTATTTGCAGTTATCAAAATATCCAGCTTATCTAGATATCTAGAGTTACTCATACTCATACTGAAAATCAGTTAACTCAATTACATGGGTAAAATAAAGGCAGTGGTTSTCGGAGGACAAAAGCCCCCAAAATAGACAGCTGTTCCCTCCCCCACAACTTCAGCWGACTATTGAGTGATAGGAAAGGGAATCAGGCTAACACAGATGTCTTACAGTGTCTGCAAATAATAGATCAATGAGATATATACATCATATAGTAGAAAACTAATGCATTGATAATTTGTATGCTTTTACAACAAGCTCAAGGTGTCATTTCTATAGGCATTATATGCTGTGCTTCTCCAGCTGCAGCTGTTCACATTTCCTCGAGTTTTGGCGGAAATGAGAGGTTTGGTGCTTTATGCCAGATGAAGTGGTTGAATCTAGTYGAGTCAGCAACAGTGGTGCCCTGAGATTTGATTCCCTAATTGCCCTATTTTTGTTTCATGCCATTATCAGGAAGTTAATTTTTTWAATCAGAAACTGTTAGCAAGCACTTTCAGAATCAGCCAACTGCATAGATGCAAAGTATGTCAACTTTTGCAAGTTTCCCTTTTTTGTATGGTATTCTGATTAGTAGGCTGGTTTCTTCAGCAGTCAGATATCAGTCTTCTCTTTCATAGCAACAAAATACCTGTTGATGGTCAGTTTATATTTTGATGAAACCCTTAGTCAGTCTATGCTGTCATGCTGTCAGGAATTTGTTCTTCAAGGCAAACCAGCTCAGGTTCTCCAATACCAATGTTCCATTTTACCAGATAGTACTTTGATCTGAGAGCCATGGCTTGAGCCATGGCTTTGTGGAGGATTTGAAGACAGAGGGACATCTCGTTACCTTTGTGACAATTCTCTGCACATAAAAGTACTGTCACAAAAATGTGTGCTTTTAAGCATATGGTTTAGCTTTTTAAGCACCAAGTTTAGCATATGCCATCCTGTCTCTTCATTGTATTCCAGAGGACTGTTTAGGAGATGA